TATGTATTGCTGTGTCCTCTTTGATTTGGCTAACATACTCTTCAGAATGAAATTTCTTTCTAGTGTCTTCTGTAGAGCTGGTTTGGAGGACAGAAATTGATTACATTTATTTTTTTTATCATGAAATGTTTTCTTTCCCCATCAATTGTGATTGATAGTTTTTCTGGGTGTGGCAGTCTGGACTGGTATCTGTAGTTCTTTAGAGCATGTAGAATATCCGTCTAGGCCCTCCTGGCTTTCAGAATTGGCACTGAAAAGTAATTGTTATTTTAATGGGTCCTCTTTGTTGGATAAGTATTCTGGTTTTTGGCTATTATTTCCCACCTTGGGTCCTAGCCAACTGTTGTGGCTGTGGGGTCCTTTGTACATCTGTTCTGCAAGTTAGCAGAGAACCAGGAAGCAGCGGAATTGGGCTAGAAAAAAAGTAAAAGGGGGCAGCAAAGAAGACCTAGAGGAACCCTGAGTTCACAACAAAAGGCTGAGTCCCAAGAAGATGGAGTTGGACTGGAAATGTACCGGTATCCTGTGGGCAGGGCGCAACAGCACCAAGGGCAAGGTTAAAAAGACCAAACTGGAGGACATGAGGGAGGATACAAGTCCCCTACCTGAGCCCAGCTTGGTATGTCAGCTCTGGGTCCCTGGAAGAGAAAGGTTCTATGGAGTCACAAAAGTATAAATATAGGATAGAACAAAAGCCTGAAAGGGGCTACCAGGAAGAGCTAGGATGACCCTGAGTCAGCACCCTAGTAATGAGCTCGTGGAAAAAAGTTATTTATTTATTTAATCTCTTTATTTATTTATGGTTTCACATTAAGTGTGCTATAGTATTACTCAATAGATGTCAGTCAGGGAGAAAATCATTGGCATGAAAAGATGAAAAAATGTTTTTTTCTCTCTTTCTTTCCCAAAGAAAAATATCAAGTCCTAGTACAGGCCAGTTGCATGATAATTTCACAGACTTTCTTTACCAGAGCATAATATAAATAATCCAGTCTATTTGCCTGTGTTAGAATTAAATACTAGATCCTGTGTAATTAAGGGTGACTATGAGGTTTTGTATAAAGGCACCTTTGTGGAAACTTGGAGATGTTGACTTGTGAACAAGTTTCTACCCACTATCAGATTGTGTGAATATGAATAAGCTACACAACCTTCCTAGGTGGGGGGTTGTATACATGAGGGTAGAGATTTCTCTTACACAATCAAGATTTTTAGTTCAATATTATCATATACAGATTCTTTTTCTTAGGGTGGTATAAACACAAAGGTAAACATATTAGAAATGTTTGTATGTGTTGTACCTGATTTTCGAGACCCCAAAAGACCACCATGAAGATCTTTATATTACAAACTAGCTCAGGCTCATACCCTCACCACCAGAGCAGTTGAGAGCAAAAAGCCCTGTGCTTTTGTGTGTTAGGTGGGTGATTTAGGTTAGGTTTGGTTCCTCCCAGCATGCCCAAAGCATGGAGATTCCTGCCTGGCAAGTGTCTATTGGTCAAAACACAAAAGATGTTGTGTTTTGAGTTGATTGGCTATAGGAAGGCCCCCCAAACAATTAATGGTCTGGCTTCCCTTGTTTTGCTGTCCTAGGGCAGAGGGGCCAGTTTCCTAGCAATTTTATCTCTAGCGGGCAGGAAAGAATGCAGTAAGGCTGTTTTTCCCCTGCAGGCTGCTGGATATGTCTCCACATGGCTAGTCTTCGTTCAGGCTTCTGTTTTTTAATTCTTTGGTCTCTCATAAGTAAGGATGCAGTGCACAAGAAAGCTTGCTCCCCAGAAACAAATTGGTGAGGAGAAATTGTCTTGAATCAGGTGCATAGGAGAAGGCAAGCTTGCGTATGCAGCCACATGACACTAATTCACTGTTCTTTAACAAAATATCCAATCACTACTATCTTTGTTACTATTCTATTGCTATGGAGAGGCACAGGACCAAGGCAGCTCTTAAAAATCAAACCATTTAATGGGGGATTGCTTACAGTTTTAAAGGATTAGTGCATGACCACCGTGACACACAGACAGGCATGATGCTTGAGCAGTAGCTGAGGGGGTTACATCCTGATCAGCAGGCAGCGGGCCTGGTATGGGCTTTTGAAACCTCAAAGCCCATCCCCCCCCAGTGACACATTTTTTTCAAGGCAACACATACTCCAAAAAGGCTAGGCTTCCTAATCCTTCTAATCCTTCACTTCCTGGTGACTAAGCACTCAAATACATGAGCCAGTGAGAGCCCATCTCATTCAAACCACTGCAAACATTGTCTCTCAAGTCACATCAGGACTGAACGCATCTTCTTCCCCTGTGGCCTGGCAATTGAAAAACAGGCAACAGAGCCCGTGACAGAGACAGCCCCTACTCCTCTTAGTACAAGACTCACATGAAGACTGAGCTGTCTATTGGCTACATTGGTGTAGGGATCCTTCAGTCAGATGAGATCTTAACTGTTGTCACCACAAACATATAAATGACCAAACAGAGTAATGGATATATTAATTAGTCTGATCATGGCAATCATTTCAAAGTGTGTCCATATTTCAAATTATTATTTTGCATACCTTAAATATATACAAATTTTATTTTAAGTTATATGTAAATAGGGGGAAAAGAATTTTACCTAATTGACACAAAGGCTTGCTAAAAACAAAAAAAAAATTTTTTTTAATAGTAATCTAATTATGTAACATTTCTAGTTGGTTATTCACCTTCATCACAGAGCAAACTTTTATAAAAGGAAACTCAACACATTTCTTTGCTTCATTCAGACTTCAGGCAAGATAGGCATGGCCAAAATAGCCATAGCCAGGAGGATGATGGCATTGATACTCACTACGCTTCCCCACAAGGGCTTCTCAGATGTGTCAGTAAATTTTCCCCTCAGGGCTTCTTCCTCCTCTTTGTTCATCTTGGGCCCTGTATTCTGCAAACCACAGAACAGGCTACATACTGTCTTGAGACATCCATGGGACTACTCAGAATCATCTAAAACAAGAAAAGCATGAATGGATTTTCACCAAAGACAGGAAACAGAAATCACTGTTGGTGCCGTACAATGGCTGTGTGCAATGCCACGACCACTTCCAAGGATCATGGGACTTTAGGGGGAAATGTGGTTGAACTTAATTATTTAAAATAGAAAATCTTCCATGGTATGAATCCAATAAGCAAAGTAAAAAGAAGTAAAAATTAGAATGGTGGCATTAACATGTCACCATAAGGATTGTTTTTGATATATCAATAATATAACATGTTTATTTAAAAGAAAAAAATGCAAACATTTTGACACATCTGACAGTTATTGTGCACTGAATTCTTTGCTTAGAAATATTTTTATAGAGATATTTTTAATAGAGGTATTGTTTTTTTCCTCCTTTTCCTCCCTCCAGCCCCAGCTAACCTCCCTTGAACACTTCGTATGCCCTCCCTCCATTCTCAAGTTGATAGCTAATTGGACTTAAGGCCTACAAACAGGAAGAAAATCATGTCTAGTATTACAAACCTAGCTAGCCTCCTAGTGACAGTGAGGTAATTAGACCTTAGGAAAAAGTGTATTATCATCTCTTTGCTAGACCAACATAATTCCTTACTATATTCTCAATCTTACTTTTATTGTCACAAAAAAAGAGTAGCTAACCACCCCTCATCAAAGAAGCTTCCCTTCACAGCAAATGAAGACCATCATACAAAGCTACGACTGGGTGCTTTGCAGAGGTCAGCAGATTATGAACAATGCCAAATACCCTGTGATTCAAACACAGTGATTCAAAGATGAAACAAAAGCATTGGGTAGGACTCCACCATTCCTGAAGTTAATCTTCTGCTCTTTCGTTGTTTTTCCAAGCAAAGTCAAGCTGCTTGACCTCACATGAACACACACCATGCTGAAAGTTTATCTGGTTGTAAAATGTCAAGAAAGAAACTTCTTTTTCAATAATTAGCCACTACATTTTTATTTATAACATTAACTTCCCACTCAAAAAATTAAATCAAATTGCAGTAATTGCTTACTAGTTTGCAATGCATTAATCAGTTAGGAAGAAACACTGGACTATCTCTACCTATCAGTGATTGTTTGTATGATAAATAAAGCAGACTCATCTTTTTGCTCTTTTCCTAGCTTGAGAGAAACTGAGTCAATTTGCATATATTAGAATAAAAATATTACATATCTAGGAAGGTTGCATGTCATGGCAAGAAATGCTATGCCTGCATTTTTTAAAATGAGTATTTCAACAACTAAAATGAATTTTTAAAAATACGGTTAAAAGGTAAAAACCTGTTTGAAGTGGGTGCGGTCCGTGGGAGATGCCTTAATTTTTAAATCCCAGTGTCTTAAGTGCTTTCCAACAAGTGAACAGTTTACTAGATAGCACGTTCACCTGGGCAAAAAGCAGTAGTGGAAGGAATAGGACCGCAAGAACTTGTCAGGGGACAGAGGGACAAGTGTCCCATTTAAACTTCAGAAACTGCTATAATCTTACAACAACACACATTGTAACAACAAACAATGACAAGTCTTAGCATAATGTCCCAAACACTAATGATTCAACTATTCCCACTGTAGTCATTACTACCACTGGGAAACAAATCTTGTGCCTCTCTAGTTCACCTAACTTCACTGCATCCTGCCCCAAATACAAGAAATCCTAAATCCTTGTTATCAGCAAGGGAGCCTGCCTAACTTTTCTTGTCTATCATGCTTAGCCATTCTCACATGCTCCTGTATATTAATCTGACTCTTTGTTTTTAACAAAAATACCATCTCCTGCCCATCGTCTCTCGTATAGAAGATGGATGGTAGAAGATCAATGATCAGAGGCCCAGAGTAGCTAGAACTTGATCCTAGGAATCGGGACAGTTAACTGCCCACTTAGGACTATCTATACTAGTGGGACCATCAAACTCATGACATGTAGGATGACAAGTAGCATGGTAGATCTGAATATTAAGCAAAAACATTAACTTGGGGGAAGATAGTTCTGTCGAAAGGTTGGATTCCTGCCTGTTTTTCGAAGCTTTGCAGGTGTGGCTGCCGTGTCACATGTGTGTCAGTAGGTGGCAGAGAGGACCAAGGCGATGTCCATGTTCAGTGTTCTGATCTATGAACATTTGAACAATTAGTAGCCTAATATTCCAGGAGCCTCTGAGAGGAGAAAGCAAGTGGTGTAGAAATGGAAGAGAAAGAGAAACAGAAGAATGTGGGCACAATGAAGAGAGGCAGAAGTGGAGACTCAAGAGGTCCCATTTATTAATTGATGGTCTTAATGAGTTAAAAAAATTCATGTTCAGAAAGTCTTTTCCTGTGCTAATGAGTTCAAGTGAATTTCCTGCTTTCTCCTCTATTAGATTCAGGGTATGAGGTGATGTGTGGAGGTCCTGTATCCATTTGAAGTTGTTTTGTTCAGATGATTAAAATAATCTATTTGTATAAGTATCCAATTTGACCAACATAAGTTTTGAAGATGCTAACTCTTCTCCATTGTTGTATGGTTTGCTTCTGTCAAAAAAATAAAATTAGGTGGCTGTAGGAATGTGGGCTTACATGTGTATCTTCAATTCTATTTTATTGAACAATGAGTCTGTTTTAGCTCTGTAGTGTAACTTAAAATCTTGGACAGTTATACCTCTAGCAGTCTTTGCTGTTGTTGCTGTTCAGGATTATTTTGGCTATCATGGTTTGTTTTGTGTTTCCCTATGAAGTTTAAGATTATTTTCTCAATTTCTTTGAAGACCTGTGCTGGAATTTTGATGGAGATTGTGAAGAATCTGAGGATTGCTTTTGGAAGGATAGCTCACTATTTTCACAATATTCATTTTACCTATTCATGAACATTGGAGGTCTTTCCATTTTCTGGTATTTTCTACAATTTCCTTTTTTAGTATTTAAAATTTTTTTTTTTTGTATGAGTCTTTCATTTTCTTACTTAGATTTCCTCTAAGACAATATATTAAGGGTATCTGGAATGTTATTGCTTCCTTTATTTCTTTTTTTGCTGTGTTTATAAAAAAGACTATTGTGTGCTTTAAATTTGTATCCTGCAAGTTTTATGAATGTAGTTTTTATCAACTGTAGTTTTCTAGTGAAAGAAATATTTATGGTATTTTATCTATAAAATCATTGTACACAAATAAACATACTTTCATTTCTACCTTTCTTATCTGTAGTCTCTTTATTTCCTTCACTTGTATTTTTGCTTTAGCCAAGACTGCAAGTACTATGTTGAATAAGTATGCAAAAAAAACAGACATTCATGTCTTGTTTCTTATTTTTGTGTAAACGCTTTGAGCTTTCCTTTGCTGGGGATTTTTTTTTTTTTTTTTTTTTTTTTTTTTTTTTTTTTTTTTTTTTTTGTTTTTTTTTTTTTTTTTTTTTTTTTTTTTTTTTTTTTTTTTTTTTGCTGTGGAATCCCTATATATTGCCTCTATTATGATGAGATATGTCCCTACTAGCCCTATTTCCTCCAGGGATTTTATTAGGAATGAAGGTTGGATTTTTGTCAAAGACCTTTGCATGCTCTATGGAGATGAACATGTGGTTTTGTACCTTAGTCTACTCGTGTGGTGGGTCATGTGTATTAATTAATGTGTGCCTCTCTGAAGTGAAGTTGACCTGATTATAGTGGATAATCTTTTTAAGGTGTCTGTTTACAAGTAGTAATTCATTGAGATTTCTTATGTTGACGTTGATGATAGATACTGGTCTATAATTTTCCTTATTTGTTGGGTCTTTTCTTCTTTTGGTATTATGGGAATATTAGATTTCTAAAGGGAAATTGGAGAATACCCTTTGTTTTCTATTATGCAAAAATAACTTCAGGAGTATTGGCAATAATTCTGATATCTACAGTATATCCACCTGGCCCTGAGCCTTATTTTTTAGTTGGGAGGTTACTAATTACAGTTTTTAACTCACTGGATATTACAGATCTATTTAAATTATTTATTTCATCCTGATTTAACTTTGTTAGGTTGTGTTATGCCGAATCTCTTGGACCCCAAATACCACCAAGGAGCCAATTCCAATGTAAATGCAGTAGGGTCTTTTTATTACATGCTCGAGCTAGGGCCCACACCCTCACCGATACAGCTTTTGAGAGTAGAGCCCTGAGCTCAGGGTAGGAGGGTGATTTATAGATCCCAGTCCCTTCCAGTGCACCCAAAGCAGGGGAATTCCAGCCTGGCAAGCGTCTATTGGTTGAAACACAAAAGGGGATATTGCATTTTAAACTGATTGGCTGTGGGAAGCTGCCAAAACCATTAATGGTCTGGCTTCCTTTGTTTGGCTGTCACTAGGGAAGAGGGGTGATCTAGGCTAGTTTTCTAGCAACTATATCTCTAGCAGGCAGGAAAAGAATGCAGTAAGGCTGGTTCCTCCCCAGCTGTGGCTGGACATGTCTCGAAGTATCTGGCCTTTTTTCAGGCTTGTGCTTTAAACTTTAATACAATAACGCAAAAAACTAATTTTAATTATTTGGTCTCTCAGTTGTATATGTCTAGCTCATCCATTTCTTTTATATTTTCCACTTTGGTGGGATAATGTATATCAAAGTATATACTTCAAGATCTGATTCTCTGAATTCTTCAGTATCTGTTTAAAGTATCCCATTGGAGGTAATCTGCTGGTTGAGATTGTAGTTCTTTCTTGGACTGGATAGCCATTATGAGCTCAGTGCTAAAGGCAGAACTCTCTCCCCTGCTCTCTGCCTGACTTCATCTGGAGAGTACCTTTAGATACAGATTCCCCTAGCCACACTTTATTATATATGGCCTCTGACACAGCTCCCTGCTGGCTCTTCCCTCCCTGCACCTATAAATTAAGCACTGACATTCTACTCTTATCATAGGAGCGTGCTGTATAATGCAAATCAAGCATCCTTGAAGTGCCTACTTTCAACTGATTATGTACACCTATTCTTGGAGCCCCACCCCCACCCCGATCACTCCCCAAGGGGTATATAGTCTTTGTTCTCTGGAATTAAAGTTGAACTAGCCATCAGCTGTTCCCAGGATGTGATCCCTGTATGATTCTCACTGGCCATTCCAGGCACACACACTTCTTGTCCCCTGCCCCTCCTGACTTCACTGGATGTAGGGAGGCAACCCCCAACCAGGAGGAGAACCACACTATCTCTTTTCACCCCAATTTTATTAATTTGGATTTCAGCTTTCTTTCCTTTTGATTAACTTTGTTGAAGTTTGTGAATCTTGTTAAATATTTCAAAGACCCAATTCTTTATTTCACTGATTTTTTTTGTATAATTGTTTTTGTTTCCATTTCATTAATTTCAGTCCTGATTTTTATTATATATTCCTGTCTATTTGGTAGGGGGTTGTTGATTATTCTTGTTTTTCTAAAGCCATCAGGTACATCATTAAGTTATTGAGATCCCTAAAAATTTTAGATGTAAGTATATAGTAATATAAACTTTCTTCTGATGACTACCTTCTAAAATATGTCCCATAGTTTTAGGTATTTTGTGTTTTCATTTTCATTCAATTCTAGGATTGAAAAAGTTTTCTTGATTTTTTTTTTCTTTCATCCAATTTTGGTTTAGTAGTATGTTGTTTCCCTTTATGAAGGAGTCTGGTAATTGGAATTCTGCCTCCTGGCCTTGGCAGATGCAGGTCTTATCCATCATTCCATTTCTCAGAGACTGTCCTTGGCGGTCTCTGCAGGCGGGGTGCTCTGAGCCTGAGAAGTAGATAGCGAGCTCCCTGCAACCCTGGGAACCAGACAGCAAACTTTGTGTAACTTTGAGTGAATTCTTGGATGCCTTGCCAGGTGGCACAGATGTGTTGCTATTGTGAAAAAAAATTTGCTTGTACCCTTTGCTTTATAAGTGTTGCTTGCACATTCAGTAAACTGAGACTTGATCAGGAATCTGTCTTGTCTCCTTTCTTCACGTCTCTGTCCCCCCATTTCCACTCCCTCTTTCAGGTGGACCCTATTCAACTAGCCCGCAGAATGGGTCACCTTTAATAGATTTGTGTGCTTTTTGCTATTTCTTGTTGAGTTGATATCCATCATTAACATATAGATGTCAGATCAAATGCAAGATGTGATTTCAATTTTTCTAAATTTGTTGACACTATTTTGTGTCATAATATATAGTCTATTTTGGAGAAAGGTCCATCATGTTAGGAAAATTGTGAATTCCTTAGTGTTTGATAGAATATTGTATTGCTACATTAGGTCCTTTTGATTTGTGATGTCATTTAACTACAGAATTTCTTTATTTTATTTTTTTTTCCAGTTGACCCATCTCCTAGACAGTCACATATTAAAATTATCACTGTGTTGGGGTCAATCTGTTGTTTAAAATCTAATAGTGTTTTATGAAACTGGGAAAACTGCCAAAACTTTGTTTTGGCATGCATATATATATATATATATATATATATATATATATATATATATATATTTAAAATTGCAATATCCTATTGTTGGATACTTAATGTGTATAAAGTGGCTCTCTTTATTTCTTTTGACAAGTTTTGGGTTGAACTCTATTTTCTTGTAGATGAGAATAGCTATCTCTCTTTGTTTCTTAGCTGTATTTGCTTGAACTACATTTTTCTGACATTTTACCCTATGGTGGTGTCTACCATTTGGCCTTAATTGTGTTTCTTGGAAACATAAAAAATATGGATGCTGTTTTCTGCTTCAATATGATAGTTTATGTCTCAGTTTTATGGATTTGGAAGCATTAATATTGACTTATTACTGAATAATATATATTAACTACTTTCTTTTTTGCTTTTAGAATGTTCCATTAGAACCCTTTTGATCCAGTGTTTTGAAATTTGTTCCTTCACCTTTTGGGGTGTATTTGATCTTCTCTTCAAACCAGTATCCTCTATAGATCTGCCTAGCAGTCATAAATCTATTTTTTTTTTAATCACAAAATGTTTTACTTTCTCTTTCAGTGATAGTGGATAGTTTTGCTGGGTATAGTAGCTTGGCCTGGCATCAGTGGTCTTTCATAATGTGTAAAACATTGGTCCAATCCCAAGAAGAGGCACTGTGGACAGGGAGTACATATGTGAGACATGTGTTCCTCAGGCAGGTCACTGCAGAGGGTGGAGGTGTTGGTGTAGACCTGGTGCCCCTACCTGGGCAGGGGCAGCCCTGG